CAGACAGATACAGTAGAGGATGGGAAGTTGGTTTTGATGTGATTCTCTAAGCAGCCTTTTCTATCAGTTCTGTAGATGATGTCTAGAATGTCCTAGTTCACGTATTAAAATAGCCAGGATCTGTATCAGTCGTTGACATGTTTATACAGTGTTTTGTTGGCGATACTTGGGCTCCCATAGAAATGTCCAACACTGAATGTTGCAGCTCAAAGATTATTGCACTCTCATTCCAGGACGTTGCACTTGCCTGAATTGTTTGTTAGACGATTTCTCTGCTTTAGTTTTTGGACCATTCCACTTTCTGTGCTTGACTATTTGTGCAAGAAATGGAGCGTGGCGGCGTTGGTTTTTAAAGAGGGAATTTATCGAGCAAAAGCACCAGCAGTGTTAGCGACCTTGCGTTTGTCAATGTCTTCGTGACTGTATCCAGTATTTTTATTATTCATCATAATAATAAATGGCTTGTACCCTTTTCAGTTGCCTTCTGTCAAGACTCGGCGGGTTTAACTATTCTATTTTAGCCAAACATTGGGGTGATTATAGTGTCATTTTTTGGCTACCACTTGCTGTTTGGCCTGACGTTTTTCTAGAGCCAGTGACCTGTAGAGCCATATCACTGTTTATTAAAGATGCATGCATGCTACCAGTGAATAAATATTTGAAAAGGTTCGACATCGACAGTAAACAAGCGGAACAAAAGATTTGTGGTGTGGTAAATGTATATATGGCGACGATTGATAATGTGCAGTGGTACGTGATAGTTGGCCTCACGGGGTAGCATACACATACAGGAGTGAACGCTGATATGTTAATTCTTCGGTGGCATTGCACGTTAAGTGTGCCCAGATGTCCTGTTTTCTAGGGCTGGCTTCATGCCCTGGGGTACGGGCGTCCCCGGTCGTTGCCCGGCCGTGATTATATATATACATATATATATAAACGTCTCTCAATTGTGATTTAAGTGCTGTAGGACCGGGAAGTGGTGTTAGTGGTTTGTGGATTTATTAAGCAGAATATTTATGTATTTATTGAGCTCAGGGCGTGTGTGTGTGTGTGTGTGTGTGCTTGCGCACGCTTGAAGGACTCGTGCAAAAATTGCAAGCTATTTCAGTACTTAAAACATCATCAATGTTAAAGGCATTGGGTTTAACACATTGTGCCAAAGAGGGGGGGGGGGGTGGAGGCCTTACAATAAACTAAATCAACCACTCCATCGAGGTCAAAGATCATCTTCATGGCACATTGGACATGACCACAAGTGCTCCGATCGTCACCTGTCTCCAAGTGTTTGTTAGGCTAACAACTATTCTGTTGTGGTTGATGAACGTCGGTGGCTTCATCATGGTTTTCCTGTCTTACTGTTCCAGCTGGGACACACACGAACAACCCCACACTCGCAGTTTTCAATTTGGGATCACCAGGCCGGTAGACGAGTTGTCCGGCCGCCAGACTACAATACAGGGGGCGCCTTTAGTGTCAGCCACCAAGTTCCTGTGTGTGTCTGTTCGCACGCCCTCTCTGTGTGTGTGTGTGTATGTGTGTGTGTGTGAGGGAGAAAATAGCCTGGCTGTCGTAAAACACGATAAAGTCCATCACAGGTAGGGTAGGTCTTGGCTCTACGTCTCCACCGCCACCTCTGGCCCTCACCCACAGAGTCACTGGTGCATTCTTGTTGGACCTGACTCACAGCTGCTGATTTATCTGCCATTAGCTTCAGGGCTTCTACCTGCCAGGATACCCAGATATGCCCACCACTCATTTGTGGGTATTTGCATTCTTGGGACCTTCGGCTGTCGTGGCTGACCTCCCATAAATCTGACTCCCATTGGTCTTCAGCTGTTGGAGAAGCAGCGTCTTTGTCTAGCGGAAGTCCCAAATAGCCAGTTGGTTCCGCTGGTCTTGGCATCGTTCAGGGGCAGATAATCTGATTAGTTTCTTACCTGGACACACTTAACATCTCTGCGGTCGGTTGACGTTAGCGGAACCATCTATTCTGTATGGATCATCAACCATGGACAGTATCGGAGTGACTGTCCTCCCTGATGATGAGGGACGCAGCAGTTGGAGATACGACATCCTAGTATTACCAAATGTAAAAAGACTAGACGACGACCCAATGGCACAGTCTTTGTATAGTAGCAGTTCCAGGAAACCACCCAGGAAACTCCAAGACATAAATGCTTTGTATAGGTGCTATCTGAGCGGACACTCTTTATTTATTCTGCGTGAGTGAACATTTGAGCAGTAATGATTTTCATTGGCATTGTTTCGCCCCCCCCCCCCACCCCTCACCTCTCCCCCCCCCCCCCCCCCGATTAATTACTTCAGTATCACCCCTCACTAACGCAGTTAATCACAAGATACACAGAGACAGAAAATATCATCGCCCACTACGTGACAAAATTATTGTAATCATCACGTTATTGGTTATTAAAACTACAGGTATAGCTCAGATGTGTATGCAGGAGTGCTTTGTATTCTACAGTTTAAACGGTTGGAGCCCATCGTCCATTAGGCATTCAGGCTTTCAAGCTATGCATGTCAGGTGCCGTGGCCTGGTGACAAGCACATTTGCTTGCCAGCCAAGTGGTCATATAATAATTAAACTTCTTCATCCAAAATTGTCATCAGAACTCTACCCATTCTATAATCACCTATTATGAAAACAGATCAGGACTAACATCATGTACCCAACCCACCTTAATGCATGCAAACGGTTGCTTTATTTTTCAATGGTTATAAGTAGGGACAAAGATGTAGATTCGACAAGCAACTTACTAATCAACTGTAGACACAGCGACTGCAGGCCTGTGAATGTAGTTATCAGTCTCCCATAGTTGTTCACCTTGCTCGGCGTGCTGGATGTTTGGTTGATTCTCTTAACAGATGCTCGTTAAATTGGTTTCTTGTTTTATGAGCTTGTTCTCGGATTATCGTGTCACGTGAGCAGGCAGGGTCCCAGAATTCCTGCACAGATGATATCTGCGCCTGTTTGAAATTCTATTCTGGCAAACTCCTCGCTGTTGGTTTCATAATTACATAACAATCTAGGGTATTGGTGGATGCAGTCATCCATGCTTGATTTCACTGAGGATCGTTTTGCCAGATGCCTGACAGGACTTCTGGCAAGCAGATACTCCGAGCTGGCGTGGGTCCAGTTCCTGTGATCTGGGGAGTATGTTAGAGATGTGTCTGCCGGTGGTTGGTTTGGGTGTCTGTCAGTGAGGAGAAGTGGGTTGTTATACTAGTTCAGATTGGGGGGGGGGGGGGATTTGAGGTATCCATAGAGAGATAGTAGTTGATGGAACATAATCTTTGTAGTTGGTAGGTGTAGGTGTAAATTCAAGAACATATTTTGGCAGTGATTGTCTAGAATAGTAGTTCTCAAACTTTCTAATGCGGCGTCCCTTTAATACCGTTCCTCGTGCTGTGCCGACCCCCCAACCGTACAATTTTCTTCGCTAATTTTTAACATCAGTGAATAAGTGTTTTCCCATGGTCTTTAGGGACCCTTGTGGAAGGCTAGTTCGACCCACATAAGACTCGCAAATCTTGTGGAAGGCTAGTTCGACCCACACAAGAGTTGAGAACCTTGTGGAAGGGTAGTACAACCCACACAAAAGTTGAGAACCTCTGGCCTAGAGGATAGGTGACAGTTGAGAAGGCAAGGGCTGTCATAGTTGTTGACGTTTATGGTGCTTACCATGTTCAAATCCCCGGCTTCGCAGACCATCCTTGACTAAATGATAGCCAGAATATTCACTTAGAAGTGAAGGCGGTGTGTGAGGAAGGTAGCGTGTAGGGGGGTGTGAAACTGTATTGTATTCACGATAGTTGACCACTCATAGAGGTAAAGGAATGGACTCCAGACCAGAAAACAGTTGGATAATTGCTCTTTCGCATCCACTCCCCACTGCTCAGTGACAGTTGCTACTCATTTTCAAGTAAGCACGCGCGAGCGCGCACACACACACACACACACACACACGCACACACACACACACACACACACACACACACACCGGTACCAACTACCACAAGAAAAAATATAATGAACACAGAGCAAAGGAAAGGTGACGCAAGTTATGGAGCGACATCATCAGGAGTAACCTGACAGAAATGTACACCAGTGTGTACAGTGCATTGGAAACAAGCGCACAAACGATCCTTACTACCTTCTTCTCCTCCCCCCCCCCCCCCCCCCACACACACACTTCGATGGGGTAAATGGTAGAAAAGAAGACATTTTCTCTCTCACACACACCCACACATGTCCGTACATTACCCCCCCCCCCCCCCCCCCCCCCCCCCACCCCTGTCTTTAAAACTGAGTAGTTGTTTTTTTCCTTTATTTGTCCCTCTGTGTGTGTTTTTGTATCTCCCCCCCCCTCCTCCTCCTTCTCTTCCTTTATTAATCATTATAAATTACCACCGTGTTACTTCCGGGTGCATTTAATGTGGTGTTATCGTGTACCTTAAACACACAACACACACACACACACACACAGATGCACTTTGATGTCGACCGACTGTAGCTTTTGAAAATATATGCAACATTAAAAAATGTGCCAGCATCACACATTTGCCCGATAGGGTCGGCGACTATAATGGCAGTCCCCGAGTCAACAGTGCCCATAGAAGTCAGTAGAACACATTCATCGCAGCACTTGGCGAGAGCCGGCTTGCGACGATTTGTATGTCATAGAAATGTCGACTTAGCCAGTGAATGAACAACTGGGCAGGGCAATCAAGCCTCTCCAAGGTTGTGCTGGTCTCCTGGCCTGTTGTGTAGTTGTATATCGCCATGGTATATTTTCTAGAATATTTCGACATCTATACGAATTCCTTCAAATTCTTCTATAGAAATCGTTATTTCCATCGAAAAAAACTATACGAAACGGCGTATTTTCTTAAAATTTGCCCCAACATATACAGTTACCACACACACGAAGACCTGTCTCTACAATGTGGTTGTATGTTGCTACCCTTATCATCCTCAGGGAACATTGAATACTCCTGTCCTGCCAGCGGAGACTGTGAAATCACAAAACGTAGGAGGAAGGCGTGTCAGGCCTGCAGGTTCCAGAAGTGCCTCAGTGTAGGGATGTTGAGAGAAGGTGAGTACTTGCATGTTTAGGTCTGCACCTATGTCTTCTCCACACCTGACAGCCAGATTACCTGTTTGAGTTCTGATACCCCATTATGGGAGAGAGAAAAATTGACCTACTCCCCCTTCCCTCTTCACACATACAACAGACCCTTATTGGCGACCAATTAGGGATGTTTGCTTTAAGTCGTTGTGTATCTGTCTGAGAGGCGAGACGTCAACAGTTATCTTGCAGATAAGCAAAGTCTGTAAAATGGATGTGCACGCAAAACTAATAAAATGAGTGAGAGGGGAATCTTTCAGTTTCACGTATGAAATTTCTTTCCCTTATAAAATCACTAGGCAATATTTAGACCAGATTTAAAAAAAAAAATCTTTTTTCAGCCACAAATTGAAACGTTCAATCAAAATCGAAGCATCTTTTGGCCCTATTATCTCATTCAGATTTGAACCATCCCTTGGGAATTTACCATCCAGTGTCCGGATGTCGGGGTATGTGTCGGTACAAGGTAATGAAAACTATCTTTAGACGGCAATCAACAGAAAGCGGCCTCATGTTTCCAGAGAAACTCCTTAGAGAATCAATGATGACGTTTATCTTCGACTGTAGCTTGAGCGGGCAGGCTGGGAATCATCCAATTATTGTAACGATTGTTTACGATAGAAAAACTGCCAGCACGGCACGGCCCTAGGATATGTTCCATTGATGCAGTATATGGTGCGTTTGTTTCGCCGCATTGCCGGTCCATCGATTAGCGCCCACAACATGTGATTCCAATTCCAATTCTTTTTGAGAAAAAAATGAAAAGCTCCACCACTTTCTGACTGCTACAACATGTGAGCAGTTACGCCCCATTTATGGCGGCATGCTTCCTTGGCTGTTGCTACTTTACGGCCGTCCCTAGTTGGCTACATGCTTCCTTGGCTGTTGCTACTTTACGGCCATCCCAAGTTGGCTACATGCTTCCTTGGCTGTTGCTACTTTACGGCTGTCCCAAGTTGGCTACATGCTTCCTTGGCTGTTGCTACTTTACGGCTGTCCCAAGTTGGTCGCATGCTTCCTTGGCTGTTGCTACTTTACAGCCGTCCCAAGTTGGCTACATGCTTCCTTGGTTGTTGCTACTTTACGGCCGTCCCAAGTTGGCTACATGCTTCCTTGGCTGTTGCTACTTTACAGCAGCTGTCCCAAGTTGGCATCTTGGGCCAACATGGGGTTTATAGAAATCTCAGTCATGGACGCTGGAAGCAGCAGATTCCACGGGCTACAGCTTGGGGAGCCATTGGGAGATGATCAGGTGTTCCATCAGAGGTGAATTAATACCAGCATAGTTGTTCCATACTGTCGTCAATACTATAGGCTTTATATGGTTTATGAACTGTTTCACATGAGGTGTAATTTAGAAACACGTATTTATCCATGAATGAAGAATGTAAAACAAATAATATGAGAATCAACACTGAAAAGACAGAAGTAATGTCAATAGGAAAAAAGAAGACAGATCTAAACATAACAATAGAATACAAAGGCATTAAACGGGCATCTAAGTTTAAATATCTGGGAACTACATTTACCGAAGATGGGAAATTGGATAAAGAAATTGACATTAGATGCAGTAAAGCAAACCAAGTATTGGGACAGCTAGCCCCCTTCTTACAGCATAAGACAATCCCAATCAGCACAAAGTGACATCTTATTCAAAGCATATTTATTCCAACTCTGTGCTACCAGTGCCAGACATGGTCACTCACAACAAACCATAAAAGAAAATTAGTAACCACGGAAATGAGATGTCTGAGAAGGGCTGTAGGAGTGACCATAAGAGATAAGATCAGAAATAAGATCATAAGAGAACAAGTCGGCACAGAACCAATTCTGGATTACATACAAAGACAGCAAGTGAAATGGTTTGCCCACTTAGAGAGAATGCCTTGTGACACCATACCATACAAAGCATACATGGGAAGAGAAGAAAGACGTAGAGCACGGGGTAGACCAAGAACAAGATGGAAGGATAACATCAGAGAAACTCTACAACAGTACAATGTGCCTATGGTCGAGGCAGCCAGAAGAGCTAGAAACAGAACCTTATATCTCCCTCGACACCCACAGCGGTAAAAGAGGAAGTGAAGAAGAAGAAGAAGAAGATTTATCTCAGGTTGGCTTGAGGACAAATATAGGATGTTGTCACGGTGATTGTGTGGGTTGGTTCAGACATGGATGGTTCTTTGATTGTAGCTGATGAGTAGAAAGCTGACTGCCGGTGAAAGAGACAGAGCCCTTAAAGGAATATGCGAGGGCTTTGATGCCGGTTGCTAACAGAACCCTCGACGATCAGTTGTCATATCGCCTGCTTATCGGCGATCTTTGCTGGTAACTAGAATGTCACTCTAAACCCCGACTTATGTGCCCATGTCAGTCTCACCCTTGGAAACGTCGTCGCCAAAGAAATGGACAATCCGATCATTAGACAACTCTTCGCGATCCGTCCTCTTACACAGACAGGGGAATGACATCAGGCACTTGAACTCATACAGCGCACAAGTGCTTCTGTGAAACTCGAGTACATTATGCCACGGGCCTATGTGTGACTGTGTGAATGTCTTTGTATTGACTTGTGTAAATGGAATGTCTGACATTTCACGCATCAGACTGGACTGACATATGACATTTTGATGACATTTATATGCTTGGACAGTTTCTACCTTCTTTAGATATTTTCTCAATTACATCGATGGTTTATCTTTATTTCTAAGAACAGTTTTCTTAATGCGTGGTTGACGTACATCGTTTGTGTGTGTCTGTGTGGGGGAGGGGGGGAGTGGGGTGAGGAATCTCAAGGTTCTATCCGGTTGACCTGTCTGAGAGTAGTAGACACATCCTCTGCTATGCACGAGCAGTTGAGTCGTTTCTCCCCTAATAATCGACGACCAGCCGGAGTATGTTCACCAAGTTTTTAAGTTCCCCCATTTCTTGTTGTAGCCCAGCCATCACTCCTCCCCTCCCTGGTCAATTCCCTTCCTGTATAAGCCATAGTTATTGGCACCAGATTGCGTGGGCCCGCCATCTGTTGGAGGCTGTGAAGACATTCCTGGAGCTCCCACCTCTGGAGCGCAGCTCTCGCCGTCTGCACTGCTCACGGGTGAAATAGCCAGGGTTCACATGTTACACCTGAGCTGATGTATATTCTTTCTTATGTTCTTATCTCGCCAGGAGGCTCGGGGCACGAGATCAAATGTCAAAGTTCGTTGTTTAAGGTCAGGGTGATAAATGCCAGCAGATCGTTTTAGACAGAAATATATGAGTTTTAATCTAGAAACTTGTGACCTTCTTCTTCCTCTTCCTCCTCTTCCCTTCTTGCTCTTCTTCCTCTTTTCCTCTTGTTTTTCTTCCTCCTCTTCTACTTTTTCCTCTTGTTTTTTTTTTTTTTTTTTTCTATTATTTTTATTTTTCTTCCTCTCCCTCCTTTTCTTCCTCCTCTTCTTCCCACCAGCAAGAAAGGGGTGCAGTGATGTTCTTAGAGAAAAAGAAAGCAAGTCACTTAGCAAGCAAGTCCTTACTCACGATATTGTCCTAGCTCTGAGCTGTGCCGGGACGTGCACAGCTTGGCGACGCACGGTACTGTCTTGCGTATGAATAAAGGCAGACAAAACACGGAGACGGGTACTAGAGAGGAAGGTTACCAAACAGAGGGGACATTGGGTGAGCTAAATACGATAGCAGCTAGCGTGAGTTAGTCGAGCGCCTATGCTCCATGAAGAGCAGAACCAGAAATAATTCCTAATGACTGTGGCTCTTGACCAACCTAATGTTGTATTTAAGAAACAGATTTGGCGATCAGATAAGTTCAAGCCGGTAATGACACTAGAAATGGTCTAGTTATGTGCTGGTTTGTTGTCAAGAAGACTCAGTGTATGAATGAAGGATTCCCATATATTCTACTCGCTCTAGTCGTTGTCCATTGGGAGGGAAAGCGAGAGAGAGAGAGGGGGGGAGTATTGGCCAGGTCTGGCGAGGTGTTGATGGAGTCACACGGTTAGTGAGTCTGAACTGAGAGAAGATAATTAGCGTGTACAGAAGTTGCAACAGAGGCAGGGATTCCAGTGACTTACGTCAGCCAGACAATCGAATCGCTTTCCGTTTGGCCCTCTATTGGCTATTGAGCGGCAGTGTCTGTGACTTCTCTGGCGGCGACCGAATCTAGGACCTTTCACTGTCTGGGACCTACTGGCGTCGAATTGCGTCAGTCTGTCAACATGTTGGTGTGTCCACACTGGGACCTACTGGCGTCGAATTTCGTCAGTCTGTCAACATGTTGGTGTGTCCACACTGGGACCTACTGGCGTCGAATTGCGTCAGTCTGTCAACATATTGGTGTGTCCACACTGGGACCTGCTGGCGTCGAATTGCGTCAGTCTGTCAACATATTGGTGTGTCCACACTGGGACCTGCTGGCGTCGAATTGCGTCAGTCTGTCAAACATATTGGTGTGTCCACACTGGGGCCTGCTGGCGTCGAATTACGTCAGTCTGTCAACATGTTGGTGTGTTCACACTGGAGACCTGCTGGCGTCGAATTGCGTCAATCTGTCAACATATTGGTGTGTCCACACTGAAACACTGGAGACCTGCTGGCGTCGAATTGCGTCAGTCTGTCAACATATTGGTCTGTCCACACTGGGACTTGCTGGCGTCGAATTGCGTCAGTCTGTCAACATGTTGGTCTGTCCACACTGAGACCTACTGGTGTCGAAATGCGTCAGTCTGTCAACATATTGGTTTGTCCACACTGGGACCTACTGGCGTCGAAATGCGTCAGTCTGTCAACATATTGGTGTGTCCACGCTGAGACACTAGGGCTGCTTATCTTTGAATGTAGAAATGATCGTGTCTGTATCCCTGGGCGTAGAACGTCATGCCTATCTGGGCTAGGAAAGAATATCGTAACTGGTCACCTGACTTCTTCACGCAGTCATTGTTTATGTCCTACACATTTTTGTCATGTGATTAATT